GGACAAATAAAACAAGTTAATTAGGTGCTGGAAGACATGCTGAGATCATTTGTTGGTCATTTGAAGAGATAAGGTATTTGGGAGAAGTACCTGCCTTTGTTAGAGTTTGCCCATAACTGTGCCTTCCATTTGGCTATTGAGATGGCTCCGTTTATGGCAATGTATGGCTTTCAACCTCGGTCCCCTGTTGGTATGAACTTGGCTTCTCTTAAGGTGCACCAGGCAAAGGAGTTGGCTGATGAGCATTGTCAGCACAAGCAGTTTCAGGTTGGAGACAAGGTTTTCCTTTGGTTATCTGAAGCTCAGTGAGCTCTTCAAGGTGGAGGTAGTTCTAAGTTGTCGCCACAGTACTATGGGCCTTGGATTATTCTCAAACAAGTTGGAGACCTTGCCTATCAACTAGACTTGCCTAGTGGTGTGAAGATTCATCCCGTCTTCTATGTAGGGAAGTTGAAGGCGTGTTTGCATTCTGGTAATATCTTGGACCAGTCTGCAATCAAAATTCCAGAGATAGATGTTTGAAGGTTGGCCCTACTTGTGTGTTATAGAACAGCTAGCGTGCACACATCGTAAGACTTGGACAGAGTTACTTGTTCAGTGGAATGGTTATTCTCCATATGATGCTACATGGGAAGCTGAGGATGATGTTGTTTCCTAATTTTGAGTATGACTTGGATGACATTCCAGAGGAAGAGGAGAAGTAGTCACTTGCTCCTATCCTTTCTTTCTTTTCTGACCCCGTTGATGGCTAGAGGTGTTGTATCACGTGAGACAGTTAGCAGTTTTGTTAGTGGGATGCTTTGCTAGCTTCTCTCTCCTCACCTACTGTTCATCATAGTTGGAGCAGAGGGAAAAATGTCACCGTATTTCGTGATGAACCAGCTGATTCTGGACCTAGTTCTCTGATCAAAGAGCCAAATACCAACTGCAAATTTGCATGTGAAGAGGTGTTCAAGCATCTCCACGGGGTTTTCATTGCATAGAATACACAGAGTTTTGTGACCTGTGAGCCAATCACCAACAGGGATGCTGTCCTGCACAAGAAGCCAGC